ACCGGGGCTGGGGCCAGGTCGGGGGGACCCCGTGAGGCCAGGGATGCCCTCCTCCCAGGTGTGCAGGTTGGGTAATCAGGGCAGCTTCCTAGAAAGCAGAGGTCTCTGAGCCAAGAAGGGCTTAGGCAGGGAGACCCACAGGCACGGAGCCCGCGGTGTGGGTGGGCAGGACACTCAGAGGAAATGGAAGTGACATTTGGGCTTCAAGCAGACCCCGGGTGCCAAGGGTCAGATCAGCCACATGCTCAGTGTCTCTGGGCCTCAGCTGCCCAATGCTGGTCCAGGGAAAGGCTGTGGGGGTGCCGGGGCCCGGAGCTGCCTGGGGTGGACAGGGTTGGGGGGCCAGGTGGCGCTCACCTCTTTGTCTCCCCTCCCTGCTGCTACAGGATCTGTGTGAGGTAGGGTCCCGCCTCCTCCGCCTGCTCCCCGTCCCTGCATCCCATCCCAGCTGCAGCCCCTGCTCTGCACTCCATGCTCCCCTGGCTTTCCCAGGGAGGTGGCCTGGCAGTCAAGGATCCCGGCTTCAGGCCCGGATTTGAACTCTGACTGTTCTACTTTTATACCATGTGACCCTGGGCATGTCTTCCACCCTCTCTGAGCCTCAGTTTCCTCCCCTAAAGGCGGGTTAAACATGGCGCCCCCAGTTGTGTGGGGGGTTCAGAGCTCCGTGCCGACTCGTGGGAGCCTCTGGTCGCCAGGATGCCTGACCTCTGACTCCTGTCCCCAGCCTCATCGTCCTCATCGCCCTCAACGTTCTGCTCTTCTATCGCCTCTGGTCCCTGGAGCGGACGGCTCACACCTTCGAGTCCTGGCACAGTCTGGCCCTTGCCAAGGGGTAAGCAGGCAGCCTGAGGGGGCCGGGGGCCTCGGGCAGATCAAGGGAGGCCGAGACCCCACTCAGGCCCTGTGTCCCCACAGCAAGTTCCCACAGACGGCCACAGAATGGGCAGAGATCCTGGCCCTGCAGAAGCAGTTCCACAGCGTGGAGGTGCACAAGTGGCGGCAGATCCTGAGGGCTTCCGTGGAGCTCCTGGACGAGGTAGGAGGTGACCGCGTGGCCAGGCCGTGTGGGGCCACAGGGCAAGGGGTCCCGAGACCCCGTCACATCCCAGGACACACAGTTGCCTTTTCCTCCCTGGGTCTCAGTTTCCTCCCCTGCAAAATGAGGAAGCTGCTCAGAGCACCCACCCCACAGGGTTGCCGGGGAAATCAGTGGGATGGAAGGAAGAATTTATTCATTCACATCCCAGAAGAAAGTTCAGGGCTGTCTCGGTTCAGGCAGTGCTGGGTCTGGCCACTCAGTCGGAGTAAGAATCGGTCTCTACCATCTCTGGGCTCTGCTCATCCCCAGGATTGGCTTTGTTTGGGGGCATCCCTTCCCTCAGGATGGCCTAGGGGTCCCTGCCGCTCGAGGCCAACATCCTAAGGAAATAACTCATCCGCTGGCTGCTGGGGTCGCATGCTCACCCCGGACCAATCACCGTGGCCAGGGTAGACAAGGCTTGATCCCTGGACCCCTTGCCCCACTTCAGGATGACTAAGGGGTCACATGTTCTTGGGGGGAGAGCTTCTCAAGAATATTGGGGTCACCAAAAGGAGATTGACCCAGACACTCCGTGTAGTTCAGAGGCAGCATGTATTCAGACGACAGTTCAAATTCGGTGTGGGACCTTGTGTAAGTGACTTTACCATTTGTGCCGCTGTACCTGGGATAATAATTGATGCTAACCCAAACTGATGTGAGGGTGCAATGAGTTAATATTTGGAATAGTGCCGGGCACACAGCAGACACTTTATGTGTGTTTGCTCTTCTGAGTGTGAGCCTAGTGCAAGCACACAGGTGCTCGATAAATGTGACGTCACTCCCACAGCAATGCCCTCAGTCTCCAGTAGACCCAGGCTAGCAGCTGTAGTAGGTCAGGGCAAATGCAAAAGTTGTGGTGACAATGACATTGTGTCTGGTCAGACCCTTCCATAATGCTGAGACCCATCCATTGCACCCTGAAGTCATGCTCATAGGGAAAGGCTCCCTGGAAAGGGCCGTGTAGGACATTTTGCAGAGAGGAAACTGTAGGACAGGGTGGGGAGAGAATTAAGGCTGAGGCCCCCATCCTGAGTTAAATTCTTCATTATTTTCCTCTCTCAAATTTCCAAGGGTACAGAGTTGGCTTCACAAATTAGCGCTAACAGCAGGTGCGGCTTCAGCACATACCCAGAGCCAGGACTGTTCTAAGAGCTAAATATCATTAACTGCCTTATCCTCATAGCCAGCCTTGGAGGAAGGTACTTTTGTTATCCCCACTTTATACATAAGTAGGAGGTACGAGAAGTTCAGGAACTTGCCCAAGTCACAAAGGGAGTTATAATGGCTCATGTGCATTGCATACTTACTGTATGCCAGGTCTTGGTATTCATTGGGTCCCTGAAATAATCCTATAAAGCAGGTATGCTATTGACCCATATTTCAGATGAGGGGACTTGGTCCAGAACAGTTAAGGGATTTGCCCAAGGTTACCCAGTAAGCCGCTGAGGCAGGATTTGAACCCAGGCCATCTGGGTCCCAGGTGCACACTAGACCTTTTCCTCTGCTGCCTCTGAGAAGTTAGACTGAGTGTGGTATGGCTCTCCTCACATCCCTGAGTGACCCTGGTGGTGGGTGTGACCTCGGCCATCCCTAGTTCCTCAACTGCAGGATGGGGGTGGGCGATATCACCCCACCTATGCTCACCCCTGCTGTGTCCACCTCCTCCCCCAGATGAAGTTCTCGCTGGAGAAGCTGCATCAAGGCATCACGGTCTCAGACCCTCCCTTCGACACTCAGCCCCGGCCTGAGGACAGCTTTTCCTGAGGACGCCTGGCCACGCAGCCATCCCCCAAATGGACAGATGGACACACAGAACCTCGGCGGCCACTGCTGGCACAGTGTGAGCGCCGGGCACCTCCCGCCCGCCCCTCCCAGCGGCCTGACCTGGGACTGCACAGACGTGGGGACCACAGACGGAGATGCACTTTAGACCGGGGAACTGGCCTGGCCTTTGGCAGGCCCCCACTAACTTATTTTGCCTGGCTGGGGTGGTGGTGGGGGCCCCTCCCGGGGTGCACAATTCCCTCAGCTCGGGGTTTAATGTATTATATTTATTTGGGGCTGACAGCCCCAATAAAGGGTTGGAAATGGCTGTGGCTATGGCTGTGGGGCCCTGGGAGTGGGTGGGACTTCCTGTGGTGGGGAGGGACATCTGTCTGTTTTCTGGAACCACGGCCACTGAAACACTCTGGAATTCCCCCAGGATCTCATGCAAACTTTGCGTCATCCTTGAGCAGGAGCTCTGAGGACAGACTCTGGCGGCCTGAGTTCAAGTCCCGCCTCTTAGCAGTCGCGTAACTGGAGCAGGTCAATCGCTGAGCTTCCGTTTCCTTTTCTGTACAATGGACATCAATTAAAGCCTCTGTCTCTCTTGGGGTTGTTACAGGTGACCCATTCTCAAACTAGCGGCTCCTGGAGGGCTTGTTAAAAAACAGACTGCTGGGCCCCACCCTCAGAAGCTCTGTTTCAGTAGATCTGGGGCAGGACTCAGGGTCTGCATTTCTGACAAGTAAAGGGCCAGAGGGGACCACACTTTGGGAACTGTTATTATGAATTCAAAGAGTTAATAAATATGGCTACCTATAACAGGGCCTGGCACAGAGTAAGTATTCAATAAATGTTACGCTTATTGCATAAAAATAGAGAGGAAAAAAGTAACTTGTGTAGTGAGTACCAAGCACGTACCAAGCTTTGTGCCAAGATCTGATGTTCATTCTATTCTCACAGTGACTCCATGAGGTGAAGACAAAGATTTATACGCCTGAGGCCACCCAGCAGGGAAGCGGATTCCAGGCCTGGCCCTGGCTGTCTCCACATTTAGATGTATGGTCCTAGCCCCCTCAGGACTCCACAAGAGCCCGTGCAGGAGAGGTCGCTTGGACCCCTGTTTTACAGATGAGGACATGGGCTTAGAGGTAGAGTCCCTGATCTAGGTGGAACCTGTGACATTCTCAGCCCTGTGCTGGCTCCAGAGTGAGTGAGGACAGAGAGACTTTTGGCACGTCACACACCTGGCTGTGAGAATCATCTGAGCTGATGGCCTGGGGCAGGGGACTGGAAGAGGCATTGGGGACAGGAAGATGGATCACGAGTGGCAAAGGGCAGAGCCAGCCTCTCCTGCCCTCTAGCTGTGTGATCACGGCAAGTTATCCACCCTGAGCCTCAGTTCCCCATACCTGCAACAGGAACCTAGTGGTAATATCCACCTCGTAGGAAGAATTATGAGCCAGTATTAGCCAGAAAAGCACTAAGCCCATAGTAGGTATTCAGCAAACGCCCATTTATAGGATTGTTAGTAGGTGCCTTGTGCTCAGTGCCAGGGTCTGTCCTCACTGTGCCTCCACCTACCATCCCCCACCAGAGGAAAGGTCTGGAACAGCAAGAAGGTTATTTTCTGCAGGGGAATTTCACAGCTCAGACCACAAAGGCGTCCAGTGTCCCTGGCTCCCTGCCCCTCTGCCCTGGGCCTACCTTATACCCTGGTTCCTCTTTCCCAGTAGGGCCGGGCCAGGGGAGTTCTGGGATCTGTGCCTCCCAAAACTGGAAGCTAAGGCCTGGGCTGTGACTCCCAGGCAAGAGTTTCATCCCCACCTCGGGTCCTGACAACCCCAAACTCCCACCCTCACTCTTTCCACTGGGCAGAGGCTACTGGTAGGACAGGCCACCCCCCATTGCTGGGGCAGGATGCCAAGTCCGCTTTCGGTCAGCTGCATGACCCTGGGCAAGGGAGTGGCCCTCTCCCAGCCTCAGTTTCCTTTCTATAAAATGAGGATAACAGAACTTGCTGCAAAGGCAGTGGCACTGATTCCCACGAATCAGAAGCATTGGCATTAATTTGACTTCACAAATTAGCGCTAACAGCAGGTGCAGAAGGAGCACATACCTGGAGACAGAATATTCTGAGAGCTAAACACGATTAACTGCTTCATCCTCACATTTATTGAGTACCTGCAAGGTGCCAGGCACCGTTCAAGGGGCTAGAGATAGTGGTGCACGGGACGGTGTCCTCGCCCTGGGGAATCCTACGTTCCAGGGTGGGAGGGACAGAACTACAAAAAGGAAAGACACAATGTCAGGTGGTGACAAGTGCTGTGGAAAAAACTACACAAGAGTAAAGGAGGTCAAGAAAGGAGTGGGGGAGGCAGTTTACCCTGAACGGACACAGAAGACCTGACGAAGGTGACATTGGAGCCAGGAGCTGCAGGGGGGAGGAAGGCAGGAGCCCTTTGGTCGTGGGGAGAAGTGTAGTCCGGGCAGAGGCAGGAATGAGCTCCCTGTGTTGGGAACAGCAGAGGGCCCTGGATAGCCAGAGGGAGGTGGGGGCAGAGAGGGTAGAAGGTGACGTCAGAGACATGAGGGCGTGTGGGGGGATCATGAAGGGGCCCTCCTGAAACACGGCACCTCCAACCCCCCCACCCCCGGCAGTTTCTCTGGCTGAGACTCCAGGGTGCCCCACCTGCGGCTTGGGTGGGGTCTGGAGTATTGTCTGTAGCCCTAGCCTGAACCGCCTCCCGCCCCCAGTGCCCGCTTGGGCCCCCGCACAGGGACCTCCAGGCCTGGACGTCGGGGATCCCAGCGGGAGACCCCTTGGAAGTCCCGTCCGAGCCCCCTCCAGCGTCTCAAGTCGGCAGCGCGGCCCCCAAACTGCCCTCTAAGTCCTCGTGCGACGCCCAGGGTGACCTTCCCCAGACTGCGAAGACGGGGAGTCCCCGGAGTCTGG